ATAGTTTTTCACACCAGAGAAACTATTCAGTATTTATATATGTGTGACTTATTTATTACACTTAGGAGTATATCCTCAATAGGCATCCATTTTACTAGGAATGTATCTAATTTCTCATTCTTTATGTCTGAGTAATATTCCATTTTATAGAAAAACCACATCTTCTTTATCCAGTCTCCAACTGATGGGCAAATGGGTTGTTTCCAAGTTTTAGATGTTACAAACTGCCACTATAAACTTAAGTGTGCATATATTACTGTGATATAATTCTTTTAATTCTTTTGGAAAGATACCCAGCAGAGGGGTGGCTGGGTCAAATTGAACTTCTAGTCCCAGCTCTTTGAGGTATCTCCATATTGATTTCCACAATGGTGTTTGCACCAGTCTGCGCTCCCACCAACAGTGGAGAAGGGTTCCTTTCTCCCTGCAACCCCACCAACATTTGTTATTTGTTGATTTCTTGATAACAGCCATTCTTTGTGGGGTGAGGTGGAATCTCAGTGTTGTTTTCATTTGCATCTCTGGTCAGTGATGTGGAACCTTTTTTCATATATTTAACTCAGGATATTCCTATGTAACTACTGCACAAATATCAAAATCAAAAAATTAAAATGCCCTAAGACAATCTTATAGATGAATATTCACATTTTCCCACTTGTGCCAAAATATCTCTATAGCAAAAGAAAAAAAAAATGCCTGGCTCAGAGTCCATTATGGAATTGTTATTGTACTTAGGTGTCATGTTTCCTTAGTCTCCTTTACTCTGGAGCAGTTTCTTGGCCTTTGTTTTTCATGACCTTATCATTTTCTGAAGAAAATAGGTCATTTGTACAAATCTCTCAATTTGACTTTGTCGATGTTCTGTGATTAGATTCAGGTTATGCATTTTCAACAGAAACCTCATAAGTGTGTGCCCTTTTCAGAATGTGTATAAATTCTATTTGTTCTATTATTAGCGATGTTAACTTTGATCACTTAGTTAAGTGGTGTCTGCCAGGTTTCTCTACTGCAATCTTTGTGGAACATCTTACATACTTTTAGGCTATGGAAATATTTTCTCAACTTTTCTTCTATTTTTAGCACTGATTGATTCTTCTCACCCCAGTATACAATTATTTATTCACATGAAAATATGGTCATTGTGAGGTTATGATTTTCTAAATTCAGTATGCTTTTTATATCAGCTATCATTTGATTTTAAGGAAGACCTTTCTCATTTTTCACTTATTTACTCTTATTCATATCCGAATGCATTATTCTGTAGATTATAACTCATTACTGTGATTCAGTTTGATGCTCATTACCCCAGAACCCTGCTGTGTCCTTTAAACATTCCCCCATTATTCTTTGAGTACTTTCTGGCAGAGTAAGACATTTTTGGCTCATTTGTGCTTTCTTTGCTCTATTCCAGTTATCAGGCACTTTCTTTAAAAGCCTATTTTTTGTTTAGAGAATTCAGATGCTAAGATCTAAATTCTAGGTACTGTACACAGTTGCTGTGGGGCTGTCACTGCTTTTCATCTCAAAGGATAAAACTACAAAATATGTATTTATATCTGGGTTTATAAGTTTTTCTAGTTATATATTATAAAGCATTATTAACCTATACTGTGTTTTCCTGAAAATAAGACCTAACTGGGAAAAATAATACTAGCCCCAATCTGCCTTTCCCTGCCTTACCTGCCTTTACAGAGTAGCCTCAGAGCCAGAGAATAGTGGGCAGAGAATAATCTTCATGGCACTGGTCATCAGCACAGTAATGACCATAGAGCTGGTTCTGGTTAGGTTGTTCCAGTTAGGTCTTATCTTTTGGGAAACATGGTAGGCAGAGAAAAATGAATTAGTACTAATTTTTCCAATAAATACCACAGGAATAAACTATAATTTGAATTACTATCCAAAATACACAAGCTTAAAGTCATTAAATTATTCATGCTATAAAACAGAAGCTAGAAGATTTTGGAACCACCAATCATCAACCTGTCTACTTTCTAACTCTACTCACTAGACATTTTCTATTTGTAGCTAGGAGAATGGAACTGAAAATGATTTTGTCCATACTCTCAAGCAGCTTAACTTATTAGAGACAGGAGGAAAAAAATGCATGTAGTTTAAATTTTTTATCAAGTATGCGCAGTATTCTGTGGAAAAAGAAGGGACTCAGCCAATCTGAGTAAACTGGATTATTTCAGAGAAGAAAATAAATGTAGGCTGCTCATACATGGAAAAGTTCTCAGACTTTTTTTTTTGTTTGCTTGTTTGCACGAAATAGAGCACTTTGCTTCCAAGAAAAAAAATAACATTTTAAGGAAAGCTCTGATTTATCTAGAAGGGCTCTCAGCTTTGAGTTTATCAAAATACTGCTCAGCCATGAGAATATCTATGCAAATAACTTCTCAGGACCAAAAGTTATGTTTCATTTTTTTCTGCTAGGCTCTTCCCAATGACCATAAATGATGAAGATAATGTCAGACTTTCATATTCCCCATTATCTCACTATGGATTTTTTCCTTTCTTTACAAATTAGGAAAACTGGCTTATTTGTCATTATATTGATTGTCATTCTCTTGAGTAGCTGTTTATATACACCAATTTTCTCTTATTTAAACTTAGAAAGTTTGAGGGGAAAATAAAAGATTTGTGTGTGTATATGTCTAGAAAGTAAATGCTAAGAAAAAAATTCAAGGTAGAAAATTATTAGGATTAAAAATAAGATTTTATTATTTTTTGTTTAAACATAAAACATTTTCATCAAAATTTGCCATGAGTGCTTTTGCAGAAATAAGGTGGATATGACCATTAATCATGCTATGTCATTGTGAATGGACTAAGAAATTCCTAGCACAGTTCTGAGTATGTATGTGACTAACTGCAGGACAGAAAACTGAGGGGCTAAGATCCACCTAGATGTGGATGCCACCAATTAATAGACTTAAAGCATGGACGGTATAAGAAGAAAGAGAAAATGTGCTTATTTTTGAAGAGCTCCAGTCTTCACCAACAACTTTGGATATCAGTTTTTAGTTTCTTCAGCCTTCCAATGCAGAATAGTACAGCTGACTCTGTGTGAGCTTCCCAGGCCTTTGGCCTTGAGCTAGTGCTGCATCCTTGATCACTCTTGTTCTGCAGCCTCCATCTTTTTGGGCTGAAAAACTCTGGATCTTCCAGCTCATCAGTACATTGTGGACTTTCCCACCTCTGATCCTATGAAAAATTACCGTGGACTCTCCTGTCTCTGATCCCATAAGCCTAATAAATTGCCTACATAATTATATATAGATATATATTTTTCTATTGATTGTTCCTCTAGAGATACCTAATTAATAGAGTGAGCTGTGTTCTACTTTGACTAGTTTTTCCCTGTTCCAAGGTTGGTTCTCTAATATTGCTTGTTTTGACAATTTCTAAAGAGTCACTCGGGAAGATGCCTGTGATCACCAGTACCAGAGCCTGATCCTCATGTGCTTTGTCACGGCTGTACCTACAAAATAGCTTCCCAGCACAGCTGGCAGAGTGGCATAAAGTCATTCATGTACTAATCTCTTTTTCATTCTAAGAGTAGAGTTACACATGAATACATTAGTTAACTTTTAATGAGGGGTTTTGCTCATGAGAATAATGTTAAATGTTAATGAGGATACTGAATTTTAAAAAATATTTTAAAAATCTGGTAATTTAAGGTAACTGTAAAGCTGAGCCAAGGGCAGTCTGGGTTCCTATGAAGAATCACTGCCCATTCTTAGATCCTCTAGGCACAGAAGCACTGTGGTCACAAAGAGATGGACCAAGGCAAAGGGGCCAACCTGGAGTCAGTGGTCCAGGGGTGACAGCAGCAGTACCTACAGAAAGCATGGGCCACATACATAGGATTACACAAGGAATGCTAAGAATAAGCTTCTGGGAGTGAGTTTTTTGAACATGTAATGACTAATGAAAGGTTCTTTGAACACAAGAATTTTAAATTACTTTATTAAAGATTTTATTTATTTAAAGTAAAGGTTTGTCCATCATAAACCATGATATGTGTGCGTAAAACCCAAATATACCCCTTGAACATGCTGTAGGGAAGTGCAATTGTGTTTGAGAATCCATGTGACATTAAATATAATTTGATGTCTTGTAGTCTTATCTTATTCTTTTTTCATTTTTATAGAATACTTTATTAGTTTCTGTAATCAAACCCACGTAGATATGACCTTACATATTTAGTACAATGCATTACCCCTGTACACATGGAATAAAAAAATAAAAAATAAAAATAAAAAAATTTCTGTACAATGCCAACACAAGACAGTAAATTGGGATAACTTTTTCCAAAGTTGACAGCACCTTTAAAGTTTCCCAAAATTCAATTTATAAATATATGCATATATATATTTATATAAAAAGACTAATAATAGCAGTATGTTATGCATCAGACTACAAGAGCAAGAAGCAATTTAAATAGTCCAGGGACCATTTTCATCTCCAGAATTAAGGATTATTTTAATGTTACATCATTGCCTTTTCTCTGTTACTTTCCTTTTTAGTTTTATTTTAGGATTCCCTATTTTTAATGTTCATACCAATATTTCTTTAACTGAAATACCAAATAGTTTCTCTGGTGTGAAAATCTATAATAGTACACAGGATCCTAATGATATAATTAATAATGTGATATAGGAAGTAAAGGGCTAAAGGTGTAGGGAAAGTGGGAAGGGTGGGGGAAAGGTAATAAGGGAGAGGACAAAAATATGAGAAACTGAAAAAATGGAAGTAAAGTATTTGTAAATGGGGAGGGGATGAGGGGGTGAAGGGAGGCCAGGGACAAGGGGAAAAAATGAGAATCAAGACCTATTATGTAAAGGTACAGGATCCCAATGATGAATGTAACTGTATTGTATACCTAGATTGTACCAATAAACTCAATAAAAAAAAAAGGTACAAGATCCCAAGGATGAATGTAACTATTGTTTACCTTAAATGTACCAATAAATTTAATGAAAAAAAAAGAAAAAAATATAATTTGATAAAAAAATCAACTAATCAGAAGCATGAGAAAACAGTATGTTTTTAATAAGAACCTATTGTTGATTCTGGAATAATTGTTGCATGCATGTCCCTAGTCATGTTGGACTTCTCCTTCAGTTTTGATTGGAGCAACGTGTGTTCTACAACACCGATCCTAATGTCCATCTGAATGGTTTCTTGCTTTAGTTTTGTTAAGCTCTGTTTAATCTTCACCAAAGGTGCTGAAAATAAAAACAGCATGGAATAAAGGTGTTTATTTGTTATTATAGAACTATATGACATTCCCCTCACTTTGTCTTAAGCCAAAAATAGGGTCAAAATCACAGCCAACAACTCACTGATATTCACATAGTTTTCCTGTGGCATTTTAAACACCTGAGAGTTTTGGATGGGAAACTATGTACTGAGGCTGAACTTCCTAACATTTATTTCTAGGGGAAGAGTTGCTTAATGCATATTTTAAGGATGTGTTCAGCATGATTTTATGGGCTAGCACATTTTTCTGTAAAGGAAATGGACACAAAGGGGGAACATAAGAAGGAAAGAATCACCACTTAGAACATTAAAAAGACCCTGAACCTCTCCTTATGAAAATCACTTGGTATGTATGATTAGAACTCTAGAAAGTCTTTCTAAGAGATATAAAAGCGTTAAGCAATCCCAACTGGCCCATGGCAAAGTAACCAACACACAATGGGAGCAATTATTAGAAGATCATTAATTCTCTACGTGACCTCTGTTCAATTAGGTCTTTTGGAAAAGTTAAAAAAAAAAAAAAGTGCCTGGAATTTAGCTAAGTGGTTCTGCTGCCTGCCTCGCAAGTGCAAGGTCCTGAGTTCAATCTCTGGTACCAAAAAAAAAAGTAAATAAATTTTAAAAATAAAATTAAAAAGGTTACCACATCATTGCCTTGGTGTCATTTAATCATATACTTGGTGCTCTTTTGTACATAAAGTAGAAAAATGAAGTTCATTTGATGAAAACAATATGGTATTTTTTAAAAATTGGCAGAGCAAAGTATATAGTTAAACATTTGCTATTTTGTCTTTAAATCAATAGTTTGAATGTTTTAAATCACATAAATTACAGTAAAAACTACTACTCTTAGCTGATTTACAGGGATCACAGCATATCAATTATCATACACCATTTTTGTACCATGTAGCCTTCTTGAAACAAGTAGCAAACAGCTCATTTTAAAAAGCAAACTCCCTGCTTATTAGTAATATTGCTTTCTTATCCAGGTTCCTTGACGGGCTAATGTTCTCTTGCTTACCTTTCCTCCTTAAAATGAGTACATACTTACCACCATCAGTCATGCTACTGCCTTTTTCTTCCATTTCTTGTTTTACCTTTTCTAATTCTTCTGTAACCTTTTATTGAAAACATTTTTCATGGTAAGTTCTGAATTTTTTTAACTTTCAAAATTTCTGAATGATATTTCAAAAATTAACTTAGATATCAGACAAAGGAAAATAAAAACATTAGGGATATTCTGGATAGAATTAAAACAGGATAAAGCATGTAGATACACAAAGATCTTTATCTTCTGAGATGCTCATCATGTTAAACATCACCAAATGACTTTCACATTAGCCTTATCATGTTGTAACTGAATAAAACCAGGTTGGTTTAAGTACTGAAGCCCTGCAATTATCTCACAGCATCTACTATGTCATTCTTCAACAATTAGTCAACAATTAAAAATAGTATAAGCATCCTAAAGAGATTTGGTATTTCTAAAGATTTCCTAGGTGTCTTTCTTAATATTATAGTAAGAGACTGTACAATCCTTTTCTTTCTAGGAAGTACAAACATGTTTATATCACGTGGCTATACATAAAAATGTTCTATTGCTCTCCTCAAACCATGAACTCCAAACTCTAAGAGGCATAATATATTGTCAATTTACCTTGAAATTATATTGCTATAGACTCTACTCGCAAAATTCCACAGCAGCACTGTATTATTATAGACAGAAAAATAACCTTTAAAAGTTGAAAAAAAAATCACATAATCTAGGAGTAAACCATAATTATTGTAACTTAGTAGGTTTTATTTTTACCATACTGGTGAATAAGAACTTCCCTGGGAATAAAGTGCTCATCCAAGTAAAGCAAATTAATTTCTTTCAGGCTCCTGAAACATTACAACTGGGAATAACTACCTGCTCCAAAAGAACTAAATGGATCCCTGGACTCCCTTCAAGTGTTAATTTACCTAGTGTAAGTGAGCACTTTACTTCTACATAATGTTTTATTTGCCTAGAAGCATCACAGGATAAGAGTCTAAATATTTCTAATGTTATATTTTGAGTATTTTAAGATAACTATTCCTGAAATAACCTCCATAAGAGAAGCTTAATTCTTTACTGTCAAAACAATAAAGTTTGTGAAAATTCCAAGGTAGTCTTGGATTATAGTTCCAAATTGGCTTGTGATCTTATTATAAAGTTTTTATTTTTCCCATCAGCTCATTGGAGAAAAATAAGACTACAAGGTTTCACCTCTCTTTGCAAAATCATGAAAATAAATGTAATGACTTGTGAGAACAAATATTCTAGCAGTTCTCAGAGTGAAGGAATTGTAAGCCATTTTCAATTGTAGACAGGACCACATGCAAGTTATCAATACTAGTCACTAAAAATAAGTCTTAAATTTTGCAATAAACTTAGCTATAGATTCTCTAGTCTAGTCTATAGTTAGCTATAGATTCTTCAATACTAGTCACTAAAAATAAGTCTTAAATTTTGCAATAAACTTAGCTATAGATTCTCTAGTCAGTGCATTACCTACTCTTCTAAATATTAATTATAATTACATAAAAATAAGATTACAGAAAATTATCAGTATGCTAATATAAGTTTGATGTTGCATTTAATATAGCAACTTCAGGCATCTTATGAAAACAAGAGAGTCATTGATAAATTAGGGATTTTGATTTGAAGCTAGACGAAGCAGTTATTGTAATACGCGTTCAGTCATCTATGGCTGTGAGTGGTTGTGCCCAGCTGACAGGTGAAAGACACAGTGAGAGCGCTGGTGAGTACCTCAGCCAGGAGTCTGGTCCTTTCCGTGACTCCACCACTTCCCTGCTGGTATCGTTCTCTTGCCTGAGGGGGAAAACGCTGTGTTTAATGACAACTCCAAAACAAAAGCAGATTACTTAAATATGACCTCTTTGTGTTTGCAATTTCTGCATATCATTTTATGATAACCCCTCAGCTTGTTTGTGAATAGATTGTGAAAATGAGATTTAACTGTAGCTATTTTATGTCCCTATTAGGCACCGTGTATTTAACTAAAGCACTATAAAACAATGAACTAGCTTAACCTTCACGTACTGCCTGTGTAACTCTCATGGGCACGGTTCACATAAAAACTGTCCTCAGCTGTCCCTAAACAGTTTAGGAGATTGTTTGTTGGTCAACCTAATTTGCATGGTACATGGAGAAAATTAGTTCTAAAAAAAAATCCATCAAAGTGGAGCATCAAACTCAGCAATTAAGGATTAACAAAGAGTATGATAGTCCGATCAACCGGAATATGTTCTTGGAAACTATCCTATCAATCATTTAATATTAATGTTAGACACAGTATGGCTTTAGTCAGAGAATTTTACTTTATTTTAAAAGTAAAAATATTCATGAATAGATATGTAGATGAGAGAATAATAGTTAATATAGAAAAGTAAAAACTACTTTCTATCTAGGCTTTGAGAACTCAGTACAGAAGCATTTCAAATTTATTTCCACTTTTTTTCCTCCTAATTTTGTTTGCTGAAAGGAAAAGATACATACTTTCTACTGACATTTGATTGTATTTTGAACTAGTCTTCCTTAACATCAGGACATAAGCGTAAATCTCTAAGGAAAGCCCTTAGATCCCTGATGCTAGGTCAGAGAACAGCTGCTTTCCAGGCTAGTGGTGGTTGTTGTTCAAACTTTTGTTTGTTGTTCTGAACCTGTGGAAGAATGAAAAATTTCTCTCATTTCTTTAATTAAACTGCCTGTTTCTGAACCTTCCTTGCTTTCAGTTTGTTTATTTTATGTGATTGTAAGCCATTATGACAAGCAGTATCTTCTCCTTTTCAAACATGTAAATACATCCTTTTTTTTTTTAATTTTATTGAGTTTATTGGTACATTTTAGGGATACAGTACAGTTACATTCATTGTTGGGATCATGTACCTTTACATGGCAAGTCTTGATTCTCATTTTTTCCCCTTACCTCTGCCCTCCCTTCACCCCCTCCTCCCCTCCCCATCTACAAACACTTTATTTTCATCTTTTCATTCTCTCACATTTTTTTCT